GTAAAGCTTTGCAGACTCTTCCGATTTACTTGCAATTTCCTATGGGAATGGTCCAGGAACGGTTCCGACCGAGATTATTGAGAAATCTCAACGGATCTGACTCGTCCGCAAGCAATAACTTTTAAAATTTAACTGCCATGAACCGCAGTGTTTGTGATCGCAATGTCTTCATTGCGTATGGAAATTATGAAATCCAATGACGATGTTTATAGGTACGCTTCGACGTTATTGTTATTTCTTCAGATAATTTTTTTTTTTAATTTTTACACATTCAACACGGCTCTTTTCCGAATCATTCATTGTCGGTAATATCGGAACAAAGTCAAGGGCTCGACATTCATACCTAATCTGCTTCTTTGGTAACTATTTACCACCGTTTTCTAGACAAATGAAGGTAACTTCATCTCAAGATTGGACAAGTGGCTCAAACAATAATTGTATTTGTTACAAGAGCATGTCCAGACGAATTTTATCCAAAATTTCCCTGATTTTGACGCGTAGCCAGAGGGAAAATTTATGTATGTCCAGATACACAACCTCATTAGTGAGACACCGAGATTTCACGCGTCAAAGAATGCGTTCATTTCAGTACATCGATCCGCCCTCATATACCTAATAAGGTAAGAAAAACGAGCTCTCTCGAACAACATTGGTGGTATCTTGAGAGCAGAAATTTCAAAGGTGAAATTTTAAGACAGGAATTTCGATTCTCGAGGGAAGAAATACGTGATTTTTTGATTGCGAAGCCACTATACGACGCAATTTCTCAGGAAATTCCATGGTTCTTTTCCTCAGGTGACAATAGTCGCATCGTTCAAGCAAAACTGTAGCGTTGATTCGTTCGTCTTAAGTAAACATGATGGGAATGGGACGTTAGAAACACCATAGAATCGTCAGGATTAATCTATGTTCACTAATGATGCAACGCTACAAACTTTATTTACTGAAAGTTTAGTCTCAGTGCTTGATAGATCCATGAATAATTTCTGGGTTTTAGTGAACTTAACCGAAATTCCTTGCAAGTCCCATCGTACTACGATGCGTCCGATCATAGCGCACAAGATATGATCGACAAGTCGTCGTCTCCTGGACGAAAGAACGTAACTCCATTTCAATGTTGCCAAATTTCCCCTCGCAAATTGCCTGTTAATCAAGAGAATCTTGGGCATTTCTGACTGAAAATTTCCCCGATTTTTCTCTAGATTCCAGGCAAAAAACCAACCAATTTTGGATAAAAATTGCTTACGTACATTTTTGTAGAATAAATTAATTGTTCGAGTCAATTTGGCAACCTTGGAATGGAGTTACGTTCCTTCGTGCTGGAAACGACGAAGAAAGTTGATATCTTAGAAAGTAACTTCCGAGTGATTATCACGAATCGTCCTTCGCGATTTTCGACCTTGTTAGAGAATTCACTTCGAAGCGTTACCCATCATAATGGACTATACACTTATAATACGGAATTCCCATCACTTCCTTATTAATAAAAACACCTATCAACGGAAACTGGAGGCATACATGTTGTTTCTAACATGAGGTTCGTGTGTTGTGTACGATTATCTGAAGCATTGGAGTCTGATGCGGGCTTTTCGAGATTTTTGGAAAATGTCTTACAATTCAGAACATATCGACTCGGATGTCTTTCTCGAAAGCACTGTAAATACACACGGGAAAAAATTGCTGATTCAACAATTCAATTGCTAAAAACAGTGAGTGCAATGTTTCAACGCAGATTTTACAACAAAAAAATGCTACTTCAACCACATTGTAAACTAATTTAACCACGGGGGTGGTGAAAGTTAGCATTTTTAATGCTACTTTAATCACATTGTAAACTAATTCAACCACGAGGGTGGTTAAAATAGCATTTATTTGTTGTAAAATCTGTGTTGAAACATTGCACTCACTGTTTTTAGCAATTGAATTGTTGAATCAGCAATTTTTTTTTCCGCGCACCTTAAAGAATTACATTACATTGGAGAATTACGCTAGTTTAGAGCAAGCATCGCAACTGATTGGGGCAATGAGAGTGATGATGAAAACCCTCAGGCAGCAATCAACATACTGATTAGCATAAATGCATGCTTTCACAAATGAGCTTTTCACATGACTTGACGCTGTCCCGGATCGCCAAATCAACTTGATCGGCAAACGCCACGAACATGCACGGAATCGGACATTCGGAACTTTGCAAAATGGTCATGAGAATCAATAGGAAATGCATATAAAACAAGTGAAAAACAATCGAAGAGGATTATGTAGCTCGGGAGTGCACGAATATTTTGTTCCATTGCCATACGGGTTTTATCGAATCAAGGAGGGTTCGACTAGGTATAACGTAAAAAGATGCGACGGATTCATTTCTATGGTAGGTATGTTTTCACGGGAATTATTTGGATTGCATTTTGCAAAAAGGAACCACTATTATTGCAATGATGCTAAGATTGTGCAACTTCATCCTTTGCAATAAAATTGCGGAAATCGTGAAAAACTATGAAATTTAGATGGTAATTTTTGTCTTAAATTTACAGTTTTTAGCGAGTAAAATAGAAACTATTAAGGGATAATCGGGGTTTTCCTGCAAGACCAAAGAAGTTGCACAATCTTAGCAACATTGCAATGCTAGTGGTTCCTTTTTGCAAAATGCAATCCATTTCTAAATCATTAGACGTGCTTTCATTTTGGACGGTCTCAGTACTCCTTTCGCGAATATTGTAAAGAACTATATTCACACGCCACGCCTAGTACAGGCGTCTTATATTAATGGAGATATCAACCCGTATGAATACAGTAAAAGCTCGCTAAGTCGAACTACGGTTAAGACGAAATGTCGATTAAGTCAAATTTTTTTCCGGTCCCTAGACACGTTCATAAATGAAATGGAGAACCGGTTTGGATGGATTTCCGCTGAAGTCGAATTTTTTGTCGGTCCCTACACAATTCGACTTAGCGAGCTTTCACTGTACCATGGGTTGCTCCACCTTTGGTTCATTAGTTAGTGATTTAAAAAGAGGATGAGGACCAGGTAGAAGAAACTAAAGGGGAAGACGTCATGAGCCATGAATTGGGAGAGGTAATGAATATCGTCGTAAAAATTGGAACACTGGAAAAAAAAAAAAAAAAAACATTGATCTAGAGTCCAGACTCTTGAAAACATTGACAAGAAAAAGGACTCTTGATTCAATTAGATTTAGACTTAAATCAAAAGGAAATCCGCTCAAATTAAGAGGCTTGGTTCTTGATGTAAGCTTAAATCTGATTGAATCAAGAGTATTTTTTCTTGTCGATGTTTTTAAGAATCTGGACTCTACATCCAATGTGTTTTTTTTTCCAGTAAAGTGAAAACTCAATTTTGAACAGGCGTCATCAATTCAACTGATTTATAATCTGAAATAATAAAACTAAAGTATGTCACTTGCACTATTAGCCTATTAATTGCCTCGAGAAATCAGCACGGGTGCCAATTTCAACGTTATGTAACGCAGTCCTGAACCTCCGTCTCCTTGTTGTAACGCAGACTCGGACCCCTTCAGCGTTACGTGATTGTAACTTGGATCTGTAAAAAGAGACCTTATCTCCCAAAAATTCCGATTTGAGTTATTGGTACGATAGCATAGAGTGAGAAAAACTGTACATTTTACTGCAAATCGACCTCGAAATCACAAATATTAGGGGAGATACGGCGTTCTGAGGGTTAGAGAAAAAATTTATTGAGTTGAACGTTAAAAGAAAATTCAACTTAGACTTATTCCAAAGGCTTCTAAAGAAAGTTTCCTGTCGAAAACTCGAAATCGCGAGATTCGAAATGATTATTTAACCTTTTCGGACCCGGACATTACACGATTATAATAGTTTTATAGTGCTGAGGCCATTTAGACTTATCGCAGTTTTACTTTCCATACTGACAAAAATCCCCAAACAATTAATCTTCCTGTTGCAGCAAACAAATGACTGGAGAACAGCTATATGGCTTATAAACCAATTAGTGGTTCATATGGAACTCCACAAATTGGACTCCACTAATAGTAGCGAAGGCAACATAAAATAATAATACCACATACCTAATAATACATACCTCAGTATATGGTAAGAGATACTTTTGTGTAGTTCACAGACCGAGAATCATTAATTCACTTACGACTATTAGTGGTGTTCCATAGGACCCACTAATTGGTTTATAAAGCCATATATTTTTCTCCATGCTGAACATTAAATCTCGCCTGTAGGTCATTCAATGGTGTCAGTGCAACGCTTAGGCAGCTCATATTGGAACTTGAATTAAAAGTCGACTTGCCACTGGGTCTCTGGCACCATTTAAACAAAGGGCAAGAGGTCTTGCCCTACGGGCTGATTGTTGAAACTGATAGACAAAGCGATAGACAAAGAGGGCATAGGGAGTATGGCGCGATCCTATTGGTTGAAATGGGTGGTTCTTATAGACTAAGGATGGACTAACCATGGGATCTCCCGTGGGTTGCCGTTAGTTGATCTATTACCAGTCTCCTGTGTCCATTGCAACCACCCGCTTCCACCAATTGGATTCCTACACATCCCTTTAGTCTTCTTGGTCTATAGCTATATCCATCAATATCAACAATCAGCCCGCTGGGGACTTAGGCTGCCATGCTAAGGAAGCACGCCGTATAAGCCTTAAGACGTTGCCAAGGTTCCTCAGATTAAAACCGAAATTAACTGGGAAAATCGCGAATATTATTTCCCATAATTTTCAGACAATTTTGTACGCGGTTTAATCTAAAATATCTAAAATTCTTAAGAAAAAATATGCCTGAATGCTGCAAGAAAAACATGTTTTATCAAAGAAAATTTGGCAGTTCTCGAATATTCATACGCCGTTATCCTTAGCACGGCAGTAGGAGGCAAGAAGGCTCCATTGAAAAGCTTTCTCCTGGAGGATAAGGTCCCTTTTCACGGATCCGGTCACTTTTGATGATCACCCTGAGGGTGTGCGCGCAAAGTCAAAGTAAAGCTTCTCTACTCACTGCCGTAAACGGGGCACGGTGTCCACGGGACGATTTCCGAGCGGACGAGGGCCAAGCACGAAACTACAGCTACAACAACGGAGACTAGACAGTAGTTCATTTTGATATGTGGTCGCGGATCGGCGGGGATGACTGATCACACTGGTTGTGCGGCGCTGGGACTCCGGTCCAGCTTCGTACACGGAGCACTGAATACTGATTTTCGGGCTGATTGCTTTTCGGCTCATTCCCGGCGACCTGATCGACCTACGTCGATTAGGGTCACGCGAGCGAAGGCTCGCGATAGTCCGCTTCCGATAAATGGACGTATTTCTATCAAACGGTACTATGTGCATGGAGCCGTGAGCCCTGAGACCCATAAGAATTGATGCATAACAGAGCTTACGTCATAATGCACTTAGTTTCGTTCGATAGAAGTACGTTCGAATCGTCTCTGCGATGGAGTAACAACGCGACTCCGAGTTGGCGTGAGCTCTGCGAAGCGTGAGCTCATACGGGCGCTAGGGCTCACCTCGAAGGGGGGTTACGGTGTCGAGTCGGCGGAACTACGAGCGAGATCGGAGGCCGCCAAATCGAAGGGTGTTAAGGGCGGAAATCCGACTACACGCGGAGCCCTGCGACGCGTTGGGATATCCGGGCGCTGGGCTCATCGCGAGACGTCACGGAGAAAATGACGGGCAACCGAAAAATATAAACGAATATTCAACATTTATATTTATGGTAAAACTTAAAATTAAAATAAAAATAAGTTCACTTGTGTTGCCCTTGTGTTATGTAAGCCCTGATGATGGGACCTGGGGTCTCGAAAAGCTTCGGCATGTAAGTGATTTAATTCTACATAAAATGAATAGCATCGTGGTTCGTCTTGAACTTATTTTTATTTTAATTTTAAGTTTTACCATAAATATAAATATTTCAGATGCTACTTGTCCGAAAATGTTTGAATATTTAACAGCTGCAGATTCCACTCTGAGCTGCTCTTTTTCTTACGGCAGGAAATCGATAGTTGGAAAGTTACAATGACGATGTCCATTTTCTCTAATTTTGAAAGAACTGCAAAAAACTGTAGAAGTCTTTTAAAGACGGGATTAAAACATGTTCAGAAGTTGATTATTACAGGAGTGGATTGTACAAAAGGATCCCCAACAATCTTCAGCTCCACTTCTGTTTGGGAAGGAGTAATTAACAGGAAAGGACTCGGGGCATTAGCGGTTTATTTCGCATGATACGTACAAATCCTGTTCTAAGGAATTTCAGAAATTTTCTGATGCCTCTTTACTTAGGTCTCTCCTGATGTAATAATTAAGAGACGTTGAGTCCGAATTTGCCCTCTATTTATCCCTGACAACCCCCCGTTTTCTAGGAGGTTTGATTTTTCTGGGCCAAAAGCTTTTCGGGACTGCGCTCCCACTTCTGGGGAAATTTAAAAAAATTTCCGCATGTGTATTTTCAGATACATCGGTTCTCATGTAATTTAAGCTGAAAACCTCGAATATGGCCTCAGAAATTCGTTATCACCCATCATATTACTAGAAAACATGATTTTCTCGGAAAATTGGTGCAAAAACACCAATAAGCTCCTTTTCCAATAAAAATCGACTTTTTCGGTAAAATGGATAGTAATTAAAAAAACTGGAGGTCGCTATCTCAAAATGAATCTATTTTGAAAAAAAGGAGGAAAAAATTGTTTTTTTCCATCTTCTCTTGGTGTTAAAAAAATAATGGAACTAGACATTGCTAAAACTTTTACACCCATGCATGCAACTGGAAACAGTTAACGCTTCCATTCTTTAAAATAATTTTCTTTCAAATAAAAAAATAAAAATAAATAAATTCTAGTATAAGATACCCACCTGAATTACCTATAATTTTTAATTATTTTTGTTGGGTGTGTAATTTTTATTTAATTAATCATCCTGGATCCGCAAAAGAATGTTTCCTATGTATTATACAGGGTGTACCAAAAGTCCGTCCCACCCCTGCTAACTTTTGAACGAATTGAGCTAGGGTAATGAAACTTTGGGGATGTTCCTAACTCAAAGGAGACCATCTTTGGGGGGGGGGGGG